TTTGCCGTACATAACCTTTCTTGAAATCATAAATAACAACACTGTATAATTCATTGAATATGTCAAAATTTGTGCCAGATAAAGTGTTTTTGCGGGGAGTTTTGCTTCATTACTTTAATATGAACAAAAGTGCAGCTGAAGCTCATCGTATTTTAGTGGATGTGTATAGTGAACATGCTCTGGCTGAGCAAACGTGTAGGAAGTGGTTTGCACGTTTTAAAGCTGGTGATTTCGACTTGGATGACAAGGAGCCAAAGTAGTAGAAAGTGATGGGAAGTACTTTAATTAATGTATTTTTGGTCAAAAGTAGTAGAAAGTGATGGGAAGTACTTTAATTAATGTATTTTTTAATGTTCATGAAATAAATAACGTTCTTTCATTAAAAAAACGCTACGAATTAATTCCAACACCTAATATATTATTAAATTTATGATATTTTATTACATAAATGTTCCATAAATAAATATGCATACTTGTAAAGCTATAATATTCTATATATTGCAGAAAAATTACAACTTTTTTCTCTGCAGTTATCATTTCTGTTGATAATCAAACTTTGACAATAACACTAAAATTACAATTTTAAAGAAAAATCGAATATTATTGAGTTCTAAATGCATAAATATGTCTACTAAACCAATAAATTATAAAATGAGTACAATATTATCAGTTTTTAACTTTTAAATTATTAATTTCTAATTATTTCAATATTCACTAGGACGCAAACTCCTGTAAGAATGTTGGTCTTTAATAGTATCTAACCGGTGTTACGGTTCTTGAAACGAGGTGAAAATTACAAAAGTGATCGAATTTATTAGAATATTTATAACTTCATTGATTAACACCTAATAAGTTTGCTCATTTTTGTAATTTTCATTTTGTCTAAAGAACCGTAATAAGTCCTCTCTTATCTCTATTTATATCAGGAATCAGAGAATCGATTTTGAAGGTCGATTCTGTATCTTCAAACAAGGTGAAAATTACAAAAGCGAGCAAATTTACTAGGTGTTGACCAATGAAATTATTAGTATTTTAGTAAATTCGCTCACTTTTGTAATTTTCCCTCGTTTCAAGATACAGAATCGATCCTCTGTATCTTGAAACGAGGTGAAAATTACAAAAGTGAGTGAATTTATTAGAATACTGACAATTTCATTGGTCAACACCTAGTAAATTTGCTCACTTTTGTAATTTTTACCTTGTTTGAAGATACAAAATCGACCCCTAGGAGATCAAATGTGTGTCCTTGAAGTGATTATACACTAGTATTGTATGTATGTATACATACACCATGCACATTTGCAGAAGTTGAGCCTATAAATGGCAGAACCAAGAAAAGAGAACTGCTATTCGCTCGACTCCCCTTTGATTCTCTCTAAATGGATAACTTCTTTCTCTGTTTACTACCGTTTAGTAAAGCCTGAGTGATTGGTAAGTACTGCTGGATCAACAGCAACCAATCAGGCTTTAGTAAACAGAGAAAGAACATTCATCCATTTATCTAGATATTGGATGATCTAAAAGAATACACCAACAGCATTGAGCGCTTACAGATCCGCTCTGCACAGCTGAGTCTACTGAATGCGACCAATGGATGCATTTTGTTACGCTTGTAGTGCTTGTAAATATTATTTGTCCATATTTAATAGACAACAAGAATGAACTGAAAGGCTCCGCACAATAAAAGAAATAGGGAACAGAGAATAAAAATTTCAACCTATCAGAAACTGTGTATTCCACAATATATTTCTGATAGGTTAAAATTCTTATTTTCTTCTTCTTTGTTCTTTTTATTGCCCTCTTATTAAATGCATCCAGAAGCACAATTGCTCACTAAGCGCTCAGTGAGCTCTTGCATTTGATTGGCATATTCCATTAGATCTAAAAGTATAAAGCAAACAGATAAAAGAGCTCATTGAGCTCTGAATGAGCGGTTGTGCTTCTGGATGCACCCCATTATATCGCTGTTTTACATCAAGTGAAAAAAAGCAGAGTTTTCATTGGATGATATCGCTCATCGCGTTCAGTGTGCATTAGGTTCAAACGTCAATGTCTGATATAGCAGGTGGCCCATCTATGTATTTATGAATATCGGTAAAATAATTGCACGCCGTGTCCAGCTCGTTCTTTTTCGTTCATCGTTTGATAGACGCGGTAACCACGGAGTAATCCGTTTTAATCGGCGATATAACGCAGCCGAGAGTGATTCAAAATGACGGAAACTTTACAATTAAGAGGCACACTTCGTGGTCATAATGGATGGGTCACGCAAATTGCGACAAACCCGAAATATCCGGACATGATTTTATCCTCTTCACGTGGCAAGTATCGGCCGTTGCTGGCCTTTATCTCCTTTTATCTAATCTCTTTTATAATTTTATAATGAAATTCTGATTTTTTTGAGCTATATTTTAATTCGCTACTATACTTGCTTCATTTTTTTACTATAATTATGTGCTGCAAAACATGATTTTATTTAATTAGTAGATTTATTTAACCTTACATATATCATGTAATATTCCATTTGTTCGTTGAGTAATTGTAGAACTATAATAGCAATTAAGGATGATGCAGATTTTGATAAAAAAATTATTTTTATTAACTGAACTTCGTATTTATTTTTCTCTTGTTCTTATCAAAATGATAGAAAAAAGAAGAAAGATAAACTTGCAAGAAGTTCGGTTAGAAGGAACAAGCTTAAAGTTTCTGTATCTAACTTATTTATCTTAATTTATCGTTCCTAAAACAGGTTATAATTGAAAGGCTTTTTGAAAAATTCAGTTAACTCCATTTTTTGACAAAATAACTTTGAGTATTTAATATACTAAATATTCTACTTTTGGTATAAGAAATGGACAACTCTGAGTAAATTAATTAACAGGTTTTGTAAAATATTTTGTGCAATATTTTCCAAAACAGTTTTTTTTATTAATATTGTAGTAACTTTTAAAGAAGTTGACTGGATTTTACACCAAGAGTATTCACTTCATCTCATGTACTCTTTTATTTATACTCTTCAAATTCTTGAATCAGCCTGTTATAAACCAAGGATGAAGGATTGAACTTGCTGATTATTCTCACACAAAGCTTTTCATCATTCCATTAATGTTCATTTTTATCAATATATATTACTTTAATTGTAGTTTAACTTATCTTTTATCTGTTTCTAATATCCATTTGTTAATTAATATTTAATCTCGGTTTAAATTTCTTTTTATCTTCTAGTTCTAATAATTAGGAAAAGATAGAAAGTAAATTAACCCAATTAAAGCTACATTTCTACTTTGGTAGAAATAGGCTTAATGCTCAAAACTAGAAAAAGATAAAGTATAAATTAAATTGAAGTTAAAAATAATCTAAATTGGTAAAAAATTAAGCTGCAATATTTGTAACTTTGATTAACTTAATCAGCAATTAATTTAACTGCAAAATTTATATAATTATATTATTTTTTTCTTAATTTAATCTTTCTTCTCATGTCTTAGATAACAAAAATTAATTTTGTATTATTGTTCCATTTTAGATAAGACTCTGATTGTTTGGAAATTGACGCGTGATGAAGCTAACTATGGTATCCCACAAAAACGTCTTTATGGACACTCGCATTTCATAAGCGACGTAGTTCTTTCATCCGATGGCAATTACGCTCTGTCTGGTTCGTGGGACAAAACATTGCGTCTTTGGGATTTGGCAGCGGGTCGTACGACTAGAAGATTTGAAGACCATACCAAGGTGTGACTTCGCTCTTCCACATCGCGACGATACATATTTGAATTTTCTTCGTAACAAAGATAAAAAAAATTTTCCATATTGTGAGGTATCACTTCATAATATGAGTTTTTTTTTATTTATTTATTACGATGGAAGAAGTAATTCCGCGAAAAATATGAGATATACTGAAGCTTTTTTTTAAATATTTTTTTTTATTGAGAAATAGAAGAGGTAGGATTAAATCAGTAATGCCGTAAGTATCGATCCGATATTAAAAAATTATAAAACGAATATTGCTTTATTAATTAAATTTTAAAATTAATTTCTGTTGAATATAGGATGTTTTGAGCGTCGCTTTCTCTGTGGACAATCGTCAGATTGTCTCCGGTTCACGAGACAAGACGATTAAATTATGGAATACATTAGCTGAGTGCAAATATACCATCCAGGATGATGGGCACACAGATTGGGTCAGTTGTGTGCGCTTCTCTCCCAATCACGCAAATCCTATCATTGTTTCTGCAGGCTGGGATCGTGTTGTTAAGGTGAGAATAAAGCTTACGTTTACAAAATTCATGATAAATGTAAACGTTTGATAAGAATGATGGATATCTTATATATTATACACATGATATATCTATGAGTGTATGCGGATATGGGACTGATATTAAATGCTATATATTTTGTTTTTAATTGCATGATAAATTCGTTAATAATTTTTGCAATTCACATCTTTTACAGGTCTGGAACTTGACGAACTGCAGATTGAAGATCAATCATAGTGGTCATACAGGATATTTGAATACCGTTACAGTATCACCTGATGGATCACTGTGCGCATCTGGTGGAAAGGTGCGTATGGCACATATCATGTTTATCATTCAAAATGCATTTATCATATGAATTATATATCATATTAATTCTATTCACAGGATTGCAAAGCTATGCTGTGGGATCTGAATGATGGAAAACATCTTCATACTTTGGATCATAACGACATCATTACAGCTTTATGCTTCAGCCCTAATCGTTATTGGCTTTGCGCCGCGTTTGGACCATGGATCAAAATCTGGGATCTTGAGACTAAAGAAATGGTAGAGGAACTGAAACCCGAAGTCGTATCTGCAACCAGTAAATCAGAACCTCCCCTCTGTCTGTCTCTCGCGTGGTCCACTGACGGCCAGACACTATTTGCTGGGTATTCTGATAATACTATTCGTGTCTGGCAAGTTTCTGTATCTAGCAGATAAATACTTTGTAATAAAAACTTACAATTCTCAACAATATTTATAAGTCTTATTATTTACACTTAATATATAATATACAATGTCTACAATATAATTCTATACAGAATTATAAGATAACGTGTACAAGTCCACTATCGTATACAAATGATTAATTACAATTCTATTTGTCTTTATTTTCTTCCATTTTCTTGTTTTGTTCGAATTTCTGAAATTCTTTTTCGGCAATCTTGTCTGTCTCGTCCTCTACTTGTATAACTCCGAGTACTTCAGGGATGTAGAATTGCATCATATTTTGTACACCGTTCCTCAATGTTACTACTGAGCTTGGACAATTAGTACACGAACCTTGCATTTTCAATTTCACAATACCCTCCTCGAAACCCTATTGCAAATAAGAAATATGATGTATCACGTTCGGGACAATGGATGCATGATGGATTCCTTAAGATTCAAAAACACTTGCCATAAATACAATGTCACCACCATCTTCCTGTACTGTAGGACGTATTCGTGTATCCAATAATTCCTTTATCATCTGAACAACCTCATCATCTTCCGTATTAATTTCTACAGAAATAAAAACGATCAGCATTTTATTTTACCCTGAACATTTTGTATAAAATTTTACATCATACGTGTATCCGCTGCAGGTTGGGAAGCTTCATCCATGACTGGCAATCCGCTTGCAAAAAAATCCATAATGGTAGCAAATATCTCTGGCTTCAACAACTTCCATTCTACGTCCTCATCGACTTTCGTAACTGTGATGAAGTCAGGTCCGAAAAATATGGCTTTCACTCCCTCGATACGAAATAACATTTTTGCAAGTGGCGAGCAATATGCATCCTTAGCACTTGGAAAGTCTTTCGTACATCCTTCTCCCAATACTGACACTCCTGGGATAAATTTCAAACTATTCGGGTTCGGTGTATCTTGCGTTTGGATAAACATATTACGTCTTTGTTGGCTATGTATCAGAGGACTGTGTTTAGGAGATAGTGTACAAACTGTTCCATCACCATGTAAGTGTCTAACGCCAACAGGGAGAATTCTGAAAATAATATGTATAAATGATTTACTGTTTTATTAACTGTGTTGAAAATAGATTTTGCAAAACATTTGTTGCAAATTTTGTCGATAAAATATCAACAGAAACATTATACATATAGAATGCTTTTAACAAATACTATAACAGAAGCAAAATATTAGTTAACTATCTGTCAGCAGATTTAAGCAGAATATTGTGACAAATTAGTACTACCTTACACTTTAAGCTTGTATTTTACCAGCAAAGCTTATAATATAATCTAGTAGTAGAAACCGAATAAGTGTCATTTTGTAATTATTTACAAAGAATTATCATTTAAGTTACAAAATTTTGCTTAATTCCTACAAATAATATATCATCATCTGTTAGCAGGTTTCTGCTAACAATCTGTGGTGATTAAATTGCAACTGTTAAATCTGATTTTTTTACATATTTGATTGATTTGATTGTATTTGGATAAAGATATTCATGTGGTACAGTATATACGAAATTTTTCATATATATGGATAAAACAATGAAGTTGTAAATCTTACGTTGAATATTCTTGCGCCAGTAACATTCTACTGATTGTAGGTACATTTTGCTTCGTAAAAAGTTTATTGAATGTCCTGGAAAACACATAGATGTTTACGAATCTATACAGCTGTCAGTAGAAATATAAACATATATAGCAGAAAAATTTATATCTATTCGACAGAAAGTGAATTACTTACTGCGTACATTGCTCGTTTGTCAATGTTCTATATAATGCCGGCCGGCTCGTATGGAACGATCTAAAAACTTTATCCATTGCTGTTTCCAAACTATCTCTTTCTGCTGTCTTTCTCCTCCCTCAAATTGTCAAAGATCTCTCTTCCTTTTATCGACGCATGTGCACATGCGTTGCCTCAGTTACATGCGCGTTTTCTTGTATTTTTTATTCTCTCTCTCTCTCTCTCTCTCTCTCTGAAATTTACTAGATAAAATTAGATAATTTTTTGTTCTACAAACTGAAGAGATACCGTCAATTAGATATATTGCAATCACAAAACTTTTATATGGACTGCTCACTGGCTCACTCTGCCAATTTTGCATGTAATAGAAATAGCCAGTAGCGCACCCGGTCGATATTGCCAGTTTCATTTTATTGCATAATATCAAAGAGAAAAGTTTTTCTCTGATAATACTCATACACATTATTTTATTCTTATTCACTGAATGTTGAACAAGGATAAGATGATATCATGCGCAAAATGGGATATACTTACTCTACACAAGTGGAACGTATCATATGAGATATGCTAATGTAAGCATTATACAGGGTGTCCTATAATTTGTACCTATAATTTGAACAATTCTTTTATTTATCTTTACAGAGTAAAAGCCACTCAAGTAAATATGATATCTGCATAAATGTTTAGTAATACATTCAATTGAATATCACAATGGACCTTACACATGAGTAGATGATAAAATGTACAGAGATTTAGTACAAATTAAACACTATATTTATTTTACAAATTTGGAATAATTTTAATTAATTTTGAATAAATTTTAATTGCAGTCAATGATCTCAAAGGAGGCGTCGATCGTCTTTCTCGCTTTTGCCAAATATTAAACATATACCTATCTCGCTTTAAGTTCCAAAAGCGTAACTAGGGAATCGATTCTGTATCTTGAAACGAGGTAAAAATTATAAAAGTGAACGAATTTATTAGAATACTGATAATTTCATTATCAACACATAGTAAATTTGCTCTCTTTTGTAATTTTCATCTTGTTTGAAGATACAGAATCGACCCCTAGTTTTCTTCTGCTATAGAAAACAAATTTTACTTATATGTAGCGCAACAAGAAAGGATGAGGATAAGCCAGAATTTCAGGTGAATTTTTTAAATGATTTTTTTAAATTCTAATTTATATAATTTCATTAAAATTTTATGTAGTCAAAATATAAAAAATGTTATGTATTCCAAATCTTTATTAACATCTTATTTATTTTTAAATGTATCAGTTGAGAAATAGATTATATCTTCTAAATATCCGATAGTTTAAAAATAGTCCAACAAATTAAAGACAATTCAGATTTTAGTAATGTAGTAATTATGGACAATATCTAATGTAGCAACTATATAATCTTGTTTTAAATCTAGATTAAATTTATTTTTTCACACTTATAATATATTTGTAAAGCATTATACCTTTTTTGAAATATAAACCATAAACAAAATAAAAAGATTATATACATAAATTAATAATTAACTTTTAAACTCTATATAGTAGACTTATAACAAATATTTAATTCTACTGTTTTTTATTCTTATTGTTTATTTTCATTTTTTGTACACATAATTAGTTCTTTTTGTAATATATTTAGAGTTTAAAGGTAAATTATTGTATAAATATTGATTTAATATAAACAATTAACATGTTTTTTATCACTCGTTTGCTACATTTAATATTATATTACAATTATAATTATATTGAATAAAAATAAAATCTTTGAAAAAAAAAAAATTAAGGTAATAACATGAAATAAAATAATATTATGTTTAATTGCTTTTCAATATTAAATAACATATCGAGGTGGGTTTATAAAATGAAGATCATTATATACTACTGAATCATCTCTACGAATACCCCCAAAAACTACTAATTCTCCTCTTCCCACTACAAGAGAATACAGAATTCTCTCATCGGGTCCCGAACGATCATTTTGTTTTAAGGGAATCCACAAAGCATTGCAGTCGTCCGAAAGAACATTAGTAATATCCAATACAAATATCGATAATGTGTTTTCAGCTTTTTTAGATACTTTCATCAGCTGTGTCTTCTTATTACGAATTTTCTCCTCCATTCTTCTTAGCGATTCCAACTGACGTTGTCTATTCGAGATTGCGTTACTACGAAGAGGTTGATCGCGAAATGCGGCCATGCTTAGAGTATTATCACCATAAAACGGTATCGTTTTTGGGATATTAGATGTATGCGATGAAGGATGTGCATTTTGCGAATGTGATCTAGAGAATGCTCCATGCCGTCCATTTATATTTTCATCCTTATCTACAGTAGATACGTTTTCTTGTCTAAAAAATTCAATTAATAATAATAGCAAAGTGGTTATAATTGTTTGTCAGTGTAACGTTTTACAATGTTATATTATAACATCAGACCTTTCGGGTAAAAGATTTGATTCACATAAACGTGGTGAAGTTTGAACCTTTTTTAATGAGATACTCATATCATTTGCTGGCTTTGTTTGACGTCTATTTTTGCTAAGTACAATGATATAATTTCCCACCTATGTACAAACAACAAAATTTTATATATTAAGATATCTAGCAATATATGGACCAATTATATTCAATGGAGTAGCATTTCAGTAGGATTAAGTTAGATACCTTACAAGCCTGATGACACCAAATACGCGTTGGTGCCCATTCAGTATTGTGCATATTGACTTTCTTCCATGTCCAAGACTCACCTTCCATCGTTAACAACCAAGCATCATTCATAGCAGCATTTGGTCCTGTACAACCTCCTATAGATTTCGAAATTTTCACTAATTATCTAATTATGTTTAATTGTTTTGACAGCAATAAATAGAAATTTCAATATGTTTTCATATGAAAAGAAATTAACAAGATAATACTTGTTTTAATATCGAAATACAATCTTAGGAGTGAATAATAACATCAAGTACAAGTAGATATTTCTCTTACCAAGCACAAGTAAATGTTTCTCTCCAAGTTTAATTTGCGACTGGCCATAACGTGGCTGTGGCTTCAAATTTGATGTACTTTGTTTGTGCCAGGTATATGAATCCAAATTTAAGCACCATACATCATTAGAACTACTTTAAAATAATACAAGCAATGTTGTGCATAAAAAATATATAATATGTTTTACTTTCACACATTCATATATAATTTTACAAGAATATACCTGTAGTATCCATTACAAACTCCGCCGAAAACAACCATTAAATTCCTATGTATTGTTGCAGAATGTGCAGATGTTGGTGGTGGAGTTTCTAATGTGTTTATAGCAGTCCACTTATTTGATTTTATACAATATACATGTAATTCATTAAACAATTTCCACTGCTATAAATATATTATCTACTTTAATATATTTCAATATGTCTATTTTTTAATATTAAATAACATTACAAATTTTATGAAAAATAAATAATGCAAGCTGTAAAAAATAAGTTTGTAACAAACTTTGTTAAACAGTAAAATTATAGTTTTTTTATGTACCTCCCAGCACATGATTTAATTAAATAAATCTGATTTAAGAATGTTTTTATAAAAGTCTAATATAAATGTATAAATATACATTGTATGTGTGTGTGTGTGTGTGTGTGTGTGTGTGTGTGTGTATACAGTCTCAACTGAAATTATCCTTTTTTTATTTTAACAGTTACCTGATGTAAAGGATATGGCGACGGATGAGACCAACCTCCAAATAAAATTAAGCTGTTCCTATAATACAGCATAGTAGCACAAGCTTTAGGCGATGGATAGTTGCCCATAGTGATTGGTCTAACCCATGTCCTTGTGCCTAAATCTAATTGCCATAAATCATTGAATGTTGTCATTGTAGCTGTACAACCACCAAAGACATACATAGAGTTATCATATATACAAGCAGAATGTGAGTGTCTTTTTCCAATAGTAGATATCCAATGCATAGATGGTAATGAATCCCATAGCAAAGATCCAAAAGCGACAGACTTTTGAAAATGCGCATCATTGTGCTCTATTACATCTAGTTAACAAAAAACATATATTAATATGTGGAACTGATTGATGGGATTGATAGTTCATTTATATAGCATATTCATACAAATAAGTGATATACAAATAAGCGTGTAAAGAATAATGTAAAAGAAACGTACTTTTGGTAGCGCGGTACCATCTTTTACAAACAAGTCTGCACTCTTGGAGATCTTTGTAAGGTGGTATCAAACTTAGGATATATTCCAACAATTCATCGGGTAGATCATTGATTTTGCATTGCATTTTGCACGGAGTAACAATCACAACCGTACCACGAAAATCAACTGTACTTTATGTAAAAATTTTGGACTTGAAATATCCTCATTTCCACATGGAGATAAAAAAGTTCATTCTTGAAAATACATTTTTTACAAAGGCATCATTGCACGAACCTTTTTACTTGACGAGTATATACGCATTTTCTTTATCGTACATGACATTCCTGACAAAACGTACAACTGTAATTCAGAATAGTTTACAAGATAAAGAGTGTGTTATCCAAACTGAAAGAAAAATAGGAATATGCTCAAATATAGCTTTTTGTTGTATTTTGTTGCACTGTTTTTTCGTCAACTGTCTGTCATGTTACAGATTGACCACGTTCAGCAGTGTTTATCTCAATTTATCTTACAACTGTTGAAAATTCTCTTTGCGATAGGACTATTTTCCTTATTTCCTCTAGACTTTAGATTTAAAGCAGAATTTATAATGCGATCGCAAACTCGTTCTAAAATAGTAAAAGCCAATCGAAAACTATAACACCAATCATTAATGCTTCTGATTGGCTGTCACGATCGCTTTTTAATTATGGGAGCTTTCCATCAAGGCTTTTGAACGACACACATCGGCACGATGTCGGACATGGTGCTTTCTAGCAATGAGCGCTCAGTGAGCGGTCGTCGCTTCTGGATGCATCCATTTGGCTGCGATCAGCAAACTCAACAGTTGAGCGAATTATTGATGTATTCTTCTAGATTTAAAATTTTGATTGGATGATCTAAAAGAATATACTAGGTGCATCTAGAAGCACGACCGCTTACTGAGAGCTCAGTAAGCTCTTGCATCTGATTGGCATATTCCATTAGAACTAAAAATATAGACCAAATAAATACAAAAGCTTACTGAGCGTTCAGTACTGTCATTAACGGCGAGCGCTCACTTAGACTGCGTTCGGATTCCCATCTGGATGCTCCCCGGTAATATCATCCTTGTTGTTTATTAAGCATTAAATAAGGATGACATGACACCCGAGGAATGGGAATCCGAACGCAGCCCAAGGTTCGTTTATTATTAACGCTTAATTTCCGAGATGCTCAACATTAAGAAAAACAGCTTGAATTTACAAACGGACACTGAAAGTCTTCACAAGGCATATTTACCCATTGTAATAAAGTTTGACTTTTTCGATACTGACAGCCCGTCTCTTCTCTGACGTACGTGGTGATCCGTTTCAGCGAGCGTGCATATTAATCGATATACAATGTCCGTTTTTCACTCCTGCGTTCCACTCGTTCTTTATGTTTTTTTTAACTGTTCATTATATTTATATGGACACATTAGTTTTGATAATTTATATATGTTTGTTGGTGAGTTTTTACTTCTTATCATAATTACGGTTGTTA